AAAACTTGTGATGGTTACTGGGTAGTGTTGTGTGAAATGGAAAATAGACTGATTCTTATATGGTGAATCTCTACTTTACCATTGGCTTACATCACTTCCTTGTTTCTTGCTTCGAGCTAACCATAGCACAGTGTTACGAGTAAAAGCAGCTCCTGTAAGAGTTGTACACTCTCCTCTATTACTGATAAATGCTGTTACCAGCTGAAGAGCAAGTGGATTTACATCAGGCTGTATGCTTATTTGCATTATGGGTTAATATCTAATGAGATTTATTTTTTGGTTTAATTGTTTGTTTGTTCTTTGTGCTGCTCCAAAAAAAGTTTAATGTGTGTTTGTTTTGTCCTGTTGAAACAGCCAGCTGTGTCATCTGCCCATTTAACCTTTCTCCAAAAGACATTTCGCTCGTCCATAACGAGGAGCTGCGACAGTCGAGCTTCAAGATGTTTTGGAGCCGTTGCTTCTTTCTTAGTTGGCATGCTCACAGTCCATGGTCATATAACACTGGCTTCACTGTGGACGGTGACGCTCGTGTTGCAGCAGTTTTTTGTTCATGGCAGGGTTGAGCTTTGTGATGGACACAAAGTACCTTTGCTTTATTAACAACTGGAAAGTTAATGAAACACGTTTGATTTTGCTCCACAGGGTGAAATGAAACAGAAACCACAACATGAAGATTAAAGAAATGAAACCAAAAGAGTAAGATAGGAATGTTAGATTAGTCACAACAGGTGTGACTGGTTCTGTCGGTGTGGGTGTGCACTCTAGTAGTATAAATATCTGCAGACACAGAGGCATTAGCACAATAACCAGCGCTCATCTTCATCCACACTTTAAGGAATCATGGAGGTTTCAGCGTTAAAGAAAATGATAGATGATTTGAGTCTCTGTGAAGACGTTATGGTAGAAAACACAGATCTCATCATTGATGGTAATGCTCTTTACTATTTTTTGTATTATACATCTGATCCAAAGCTGGACCAGCGATGTGGAGGGGATTATCCTGGATTCAAACATGAGGTCTGTAAGTTCTTTGAGACTCTGCAGGACTGTAAAGTCAATCCGTACGTCATCCTGGATGGAGGCTCAGGGCCCGAGAAGCATGAACACAATGTGTCTCGTCTAAAATATAAACTGATAAAAGCAAAGACAATAGCAGAGACTGAGCCTTATGGCACTTTACCAGAGGGATGTGATGTGTTACCACCTCTGGTCAAAGATGTCTTCATAGAAATCTTAAAGGAAGAAAAAATAGAGTTTGAAGTGTGTTTAGGAGAGGCGGACCCTGAGGTTGTTTCTAAGGCAAATCAGGAAAAATGTGCTGTGCTGTCCATTGACAAGGATTTTTACATCTTTGATGTGCGCAAAGGTTTCCTTAATCTCCACAACTTTGAGTGGAAAAAAGAAGAGGATGGAAAAATTCCTGCTAAGCTCTACACACATTCAAAGTTTTGTGAGCATTTTAAATTGGACCCTGCTCTCATGCCAGTCTTTGCTTCAATAGCAGGAAATGATTATTCAAACTTAGAAGACAATCACATTTTTGCAAATAGATCATCTTCACCTGGTGAGCCCAACATTAAAAGACTGGATGGTATGCTCCGCTTTTTAAGTGAAGTGAAACTGAATGGCTTGAATGATTCACAGAAGAGAGAACGTGCTCTGAGTGAAGCTTTAAATCATGTTGGTAAAAAAGAGAAGCAAAAATTCAAATTCGCCATTGAAAGATATGTTGAACCAGAAAAAAACAAAAAACAACCAAGTTCTAAGTTACCAGCATGGGTGTGTGAAAAAGTTAAGCACGGAAAACTCACCAGTTTCGCCACAAGTGTTTTGGATCAGAAGATAGTGATGCTGACCCCACTTGTGGAGGACTTTTCACAGCACAGTAGTTATCAAGCTGCTTACCGCATCAGACAGTACTTCTATGGACTGTTAACGGGAGGTGAGATTACTGAATATGACAGGGATGGAGAAAATATCAAATACTACCGTGTCCAACCAATACCAGAGATACAACGGAAACAACAGAATCTGCGTAAGGTACTGAGGTTAATCATTAAATATGTGTTTAATTACTCTGACAGGTAGACATGTTTCTGTGGTACATGTAAGCATATTGTCTGTGTGGTACATCTCCGTGCAGGTTGAGGGTTGCAGGGTGTTTGAAGAAGCTCTGGAGGTTCAGACTTCAGTCTTAGAAAACATCCCCGACCAGCTGAAGCTGCCAGTCTATGTGACTGTTTTCTGGTTCAAGAGTCTACAACAGCACCACTGCCTCCACGCCCTCCTGCTGTGGTTTGTGTGTGAGCCCGATGGTCCAGGTTAGTCTGGTTAGTTAGGTAACATGATGAATATTAACAATGAAATGAATAGCTACAGGTGACTTTATATATTCCGTATATTCTACTCGGATGAAACTTCTACAGTTTCAGCTCCATAAATGTGATTATTCTGTTTATTATTTACAGTCACCTGTCAGCAGGTTAGTCTCTCTGAAAGCAGTCAGCAGATGGACTGTAGTCAGTTCCTGTAGTCAGAGTTTGTGTGACAGTAGCAGCACTGATGCTTCCACATGAGCCTGAACAAGAAGACAAACTACTGCTGGTCTCTGGTTCTGTGTCACTGAAACTTTGTCCTTTTTTGTCTGTAGAGGAGTTTGAGAGGAAGATGAAAGTTTTAAACGATGAAGGTGTGAGTAACTGGAAGTCATGTGTGGCTCATGCTTTCAGCCAATGGCAGTGCTGCATGAGGCAGAGCCTCCACCTGAACCAGCTGCTGTGTTCCCCTCTACCAGAACCTCAGTTTGCCCGGTAAACACCAGACCAATGATTTGCTCCACAGATGGTTAACACACTTCATCAACTTTAACTGAGATTTTCTGCTTTGTCAGGCTTTACTGTGGACCTCTCCTTCATCGGCTGGCAGATGGAGACACGATTGAAGAAGTACAGAAAACACTGAGAGGAGAAAAGAAGAAATTATATGACAGACTGAAGACTGTTTGTAATCCTTCTTCTGGAGAGGGATCCTCTGTCCTGAGAGTTGAGGTTCCCTCTACTGGGGAGCGTTCCTCTGGTATGAGTTCCCCCAGTGAGGAGGGATGGGAGCAAGTTGCAAACAACAAAAACCGAAAAAATGGAAAAAAGAAGAGAGCTACCAGAGAAAAAGCTGATAAATGAGACTCTGAGTGATCAGCT